CCCCCCCCCAGTGGCACAGCGGTATGTCTGCGGACTTACAACGCTAGAATCCGTATTTCGATACCGGTGGTGGGCAGAGCACAGATAGCCCATTGTGTAGCTTTGTGCTTAATTACAAACAAACAAAATAATTAAACTCCAGCGACTAAATTTATTAACAGCTTTACAAGTTCAAAATATCTCAAAATTCGAAACAAATGTACAAGTATTACATTTTGTCGAAAACGTAGAGAAAATTGTAATATGCGAGCATAGGCGCCCGCACGAAGAGGTAAGAGGGGGCATTTGTCCCCCCTTAATTTCACAAAAAATTGCACGCATTATGATGTAAACTTAACATCGTAGTTAAATAAAATATTTTTAGTAATTTTTATTAAAACTATAAATTTGTAGTTTCGTTTATATTCTTTTAGCCCGTTGACTTACACTGTAAAAGCTGATCCCCTACATACACTTATGACCCCTCCCCCCCAAAAAAATTTCTGTGAGCGCCCATGTATGCGAGTTTATAAGTATCGAATAAAAATTTTAAGATATATAGTTTGGGATTTTTCTACTGAGCATGTCTAATCTTTTGCACAATTAATATATTTTAAAAACCCGATAGAATCCTATCAGTAATTCTAGGGTTAAACTATCATAATAACTATCTGAGTAAATAAAAGAACTGAGTTATAGACTATCATACCTAGTTAGTTATATAGCAAACTATGGTACAACAATATATTAAACTATCGTGCTAGTTGAACCTGCTAAAGCTGTACAGTTTTAATAAAATAATCTACTAAATATATAAGTAGGAGTAAATTACAATAAAGTATTCAGAACGCATGCGTGTTGGTTGTTGTTTTTTTAATCATTTTAATGAACTTCCTATCATATTCTTTTTAGTGGACCTTACCTCATACATGTATGCACTAAATGTTTCTTTGATCAGGTATTATATTCTTACACTATTTGGATATATGTACACCATAAGCCCTTGTTAATCTAGTTAACATCATCTTCTTGACGTTTCGTTAATCTCATTTGCACTTTGCAGTTATTGCATAATATTCTGTCTTTCTCACAGTGTATCACAAGTGTAAATGTATGAATATTTTATTTAATCAGCATCGTAATTTGATACACTTTAGGTTTCTTTTTTCTTTTGCATAAAGCATTTCGGCAACATAAATCAAACAAGTGCTGTGTATATTTTTTTTTTCAATAATGACCAACTTCCTTTACCACAACGTGTTCTCCGTTATCTGCAATCAGCAGTTGATTTTTGTGCAGTGTACCATTAGTCATTATACTCTAGACGTGTTTCTATTCTCAAACCAGCAACTTCGATGATCATAGTACAGAGGTTGAGCATGTTATATTAAAACGATTTTGGAGCTTCACCACGTCGTTATAATCCGTGTTGCCAGGTCCGGTTATGCTCTATCTGACGACCGTGCATTTTAAAAATAGTTCTGTAGAATAGTTCTATTGACAAAGGCTTCTTCTTAAGGTTGTCATGGCGAAAGCGTATCCCCCTCTTTCCTGCAGGATTTCCATAATCTATCTTGTAGGCGAAGACGAGGGTTTCCTAGCACCCTATTTAACAGTCCAATTGCACAAAAATCCATCGAAGGTGTCGTAGAGGTAACTTGACTTTTGTCACTTTTCCAGAAGAAGATCCTTCGTGACTGTATTTACTGCCGTTGACTGGGGCATGTGGACGACTTTTGCACTGACCTTTGCGTTCGGAAATTCTTACCTGTTTCAAGACGCCGCATTTTTCTTATCACGGTATGACTTGTTACACGACTCCCCCCACCCCACACACATACATACTTCAATGCCGTTAAGTAAAAGAGGTATCTCAGTCTTAGAATTTATAAAACCCCAATCTGAACACGTCTTTGTGATTCATTTGTATGAATATTTTGTGTTGGAAAAGGTTGTTACGTACCTTACCCAAAAACTATAAATTTTCGGTGTCATTACACAACCTAGAAGACGCCAAACAACATCAAAATATATTTCTGATACATGTGGTTCCACCGCAACTTTATATTGTCACGTGACTTGCTGATTTGCGTATTCAAAATCGTTTTAATATAACGTACTCAATCGTCTGTATAACCAATCCAATTTTCTCTTTTTAGTGTATTATTTTGGTGCACTGTATGAGCCCCGTGTGTTTATTTCTTTATCTCTAGTCATCACCTTTCATAGGCATACCACAGTTCACACAAATACAGGACGTATTGGTTTTTCTCAGCTTAGCAGCTTTTACCTCGTGTAGGTCCCTGTTTTTCTTTAATCACATTCTTTCCGTAGTGCACAATCATGTTCATAGTTTCTGTAACCAGCAAGTTATTTTAATGTTGCTTGTTGATCACATATGTAATGTTTGTCTCTATTTTCTGTAATCTTCTTTTGGTGTATCGTCTATCATCTTCGAAATTTATTTCTATTTCTTATTAAGCACCTTATAATCAACGGTTTCGTTTAATCCGCTGTGTGTTGCATGCGAGCTGCTTTTATCTCCATTTTTTTTCTCATAAGCATCTTTTTGGTACTATATAAGCAATTACTTTAACCCTTGAAAATCGAGTGCATATACTGACAACCATTCAAAAATGACCGAACCAAATTATTGATTTTTGCCATCAGAAGACTGAAAAGACAACGTGTTGCACGTGTGGATTAACGTAAATGCATACAAGACCAGAATGTGTTTGATAAAAAAAATTCGCCGAATATATTACGCACATCTTGATATTGAATGAATTACATAGAATAACAGATATCAGTGTGTATAATATTGTAAGAAAATTGTTACAATTTGTAAATTATAAGTCACTGAAACGTGCTTCCTTTTTTTTTTTTAACTGACTTTCACGACACTTCTACCACGTTGGTTAAAATTGTATGAACATGGATCAAGCTTTGTAGAAAGGAATGTAAAAACTAGGTGCTGTTTAGAAGGGAAAATATTATCTAGTGATTTGTATAACATGTTGTTGTTTGTAAATAGAAAAGAGTGTGTTTTTACAGGCAGAAGGATAAGACATAATGATATATACATAAAATAAAATAGCATGTAGTTACTTGTACAGAATAGATAACAACATTAAATGCTATGTATAGAAGGAGGAGTAACAAGTAATTACTTGTACAGAATAGAGAACAACATTAAATGTTATGTATAGAAGGAGGAGTAGCATGTAGTTACTTGTACAGAATAGATAACAACATTAAATGTTATGTATATGAAGAGTAGCATGTAGTTACTTGTACAGAATAGAGAACAACATTAAATGTTATGTATAGGAATAGTGGCATGTAGTTACTTGTACAGAATAGAGAACAACATTTAATGTTATGTATAGAAGGAGGAGTAGCATGTAGTTACTTGTACAGAATAGAGAACAACATTAAATGTTATGTATAGGTTCTCTATTCTGTACAAGTAACTACATGCTACTCTTCAACATTAAATGCTATGTATGGAAGGAGGAGTAGCATGTAGTTACTTGTACAGAATAGAGAACAACATTAAATGCTATGTATAGCACAACATTTAATGTTATGTATAGGAGGAGTAGCATGTAGTTACTTGTACGGAATAGAGAACAACATTAAATGCTATGTATAGAAGGAGGAGTAGCATGTAGTTACTTGTACAGAATAGAGAACAACATTTAATGTTATGTATAGGAGGAGTAGCATGTAGTTACTTGTACAGAAAAGAGAACAACATTAAATGCTATGTATAGAAGGGGGAGTAGCATGTAGTTACTTGTACAGAATAGAGAACAACATTAAATGTTATGAATAGAAAGAGGAGTAGCATGTAGTTACTTGTACAGAATAGAGAACAACATTTAATGTTATGTATAGGAGGAGTAGCATGTAGTTATTTGTACAGAATAGAGAACAACATTAAATATTGTGTATAGGAAGAGTAGCATGTAGTTACTTGTACAGAATAGAGAACAACATTAAATGTTATGTATAGGAAGAGGAGTAGCATGTAGTTACTTGTACAGAATAGAGAACAACATTAAATGCTATGTATGGAAGGAGGAGTAGCATGTAGTTACTTGTACAGAATAGAGAACAACATTAAATGCTATGTATAAAATGTTGTTATCTATTCTGTACAAGTAACTACATGCTACTCCTCCGATGTTATTTTTAGGAAGAGTAGCATGTAGTTACTTGTACAGAATAGATAACAACATTAAATGTTATGTACAGAAGGAGGAGTAGCATGTGGTTACTTGTACAGAATAGAGAACAACATTTAATGTTATGTATAGAAGGAGGAGTAGCATGTAGTTACTTGTACATAATAGAGAACAACATTAAATGTTATGTATAGGAAGAGTAGCATGTAGTTACTTGTTCAGAATGTACAAACGTTTAATATTATGTGTAGGAGAATGAGTAGCAAGTAGTGAAGTGTACAGAATACAGAGTAGCATATAATGTTATGTATTGAAGAAAGAGTAGCATGTAGAGAATTAATGGTATGTGTCGAAGGAAAAGTAGCATGGATTTGGATAGAATAAACATGAAATGATCAGTATAATGTGTGAATGACATGTAATGAACCATATAGATGGAAACCTAACAAAGTAGTGAAGTGTAGAGGAGAAATTAGTGAAATACAATGATCATTATAGAGGGGTGGGTGACATATAATGATCTGCAGAGAGAGATGAGTAATATACATAGTGAGTTATACACTCGTTATCATTAGTTTAGAACAGAAATAGAAACTCCCCATGCAAATTAATGAATCCACACAAAAACAAATCTTTAATCAATACTTAGTTGACGTGGCAAGCATTTTGATAGAGTGAACTATTCTCCATATACCAATAAGAAAATATTATGCTAAACAATATTAAAATCATAAGTTAGAAGTGTACGTCATCATGCTGGTTTAGGCACTATATTAAAAATGCAGCCAAAAGATCAGTGCATACATACTTATTACGCAATATTTATCTCACCTTGTAAAGATCTTTTTAACTATTGAGACATCGCTGTTTCGGGTACAGTTTCAAAGATTTCACAGATTCATCCAGCTCACGTAAATGAAACCCTGCACAAGGAACCCAGTTCACTCTATTTCTAGCTCCCAAGCCCTGAACCACCAATCTTTTCACGTACCGTCAATTGCCAAGTACTACCCTGTTATTTGGTTCACAGTGCGCATGCGTCAGTAAATCGACGCTTTTCGTGGTAAACAAAAGAATAGTCAGGAAAAGAACCCTGCACTGTCGTTAGTGTGTGTGTGGAACTAGTAACAGTATGTGTGGAACTGGTAACAGTGCTACTCCTTTGTGATAAACAGCTAAGTTTTCAGTTAAAGAAAGGTTTGAATTATATGAATATACATACAACCACATCCTATACGTTATTACAAACTAATTAGTACAAATACAAATTATATGTATAGAAGTTAGCATCATAAAATTTGAACGCACGGATAAAATACAATTATAAAGTAGGTAACCAGATGTTTTACCATTGGGTGTTATGTATAAGCAGCTTGGTTGCTAACCTTTAAGTTTCTTGTCACTAAAAATTTTAATTATCTCTACCACGATCAGAAATATTTTAATGGAACAGAAAGTGTTTAAACTAAGGTTTTATTAGATCGTAAAGAAATTAATGTGGCGTTTTGGAACATTTTATTAACCACCCCCCCCCCAAAAAAAAACGTATATCTCGTATAATAGTTAAACGAACCGCCTAAACGTGTAAATTTAGTATACTCTAATCCCCTTATAGTAATGGCACACGACAAGACACGCATTCGGCATGTAATGCTGTTTGAATACAAGAAGGGAAACAACGCCTCTGTAGCCGAAAAGAATATCAAAGGAGTTTATGGAAATGTTTTGAACGTTCGCAAGT